GCAAGTAAGTACCAAAAAATTGGATCTCACGTGGTCTGCAGTTTGGGCACTTTATGTAGACAAGCCAGGTATCTGTCAATGGAAACAGGCTGACGACAGTGTTAGCCATTTTCTTTCTCTAATTACAGAGACCTTTCAGTTCACCTCAAAGCGGCATCGTGGCTTCCCCTTCAGTCTCACCTTTTTTCTCAATGGGATACAAGTGGACAGACTGAGCTCCTGCTGTGAATACAAGCATCGGAAAGGTGCGAGACTGGGAGGCAAACAAGGATACTTTGGATTCGTCAATGTGGACAGAGCGTCCCCCTGTTATCGGTATGGAAATACAGAATCTATAAACAGCCACATCTGCTCAGCTCTTAGTCTTAAGGCTTTCTTTACAACCAAGGCGACTAGAAGAATCATTTAAAAAAAAAATGCAATGAAAATTTGGATTTGGGATAACAGTTCTGATTTGAAGGTTGACACATGCTATCATTTCCCTGGCTGCAGTATGGAACAATATGGATGCTCCCCATGGCACACAAAACATATATGAGCAGAACAGAGCCCCCCTGTTATCTAGGGCAAAAGTCAGTTCCTTGATTAGTAGCTCCAATTTATGCTGAGAAGCTTAAATTAGAATAAAATTCTGACTGATTTTTCCAGGCAGTGTCAGGTGGGAGAACTGCGGCTGCCATGTATAATTTTTAATCTATTTATTCTTTCCATAAAATATTTAAGAAAATAGCAGCAGACAGTTGGTTAGGGAGGGGGAGGAGAGAACCCCCACTGAGTCACACTAACTTTTGAGATAAGCACCGGATTCTGCGGAGAAATTCTGCCGTAACACATTTTCCCGCTTGACACTAACATTTACATGATTTATGCAAATTCTGTTGTGATAAGGAGTTTTGTGGAGTGGAAAGCATTTGAATTAATGCTGTTTCAGAAGATACCCTGACTAGTCCAAATACCTGTTTTTCTGTGTTGTGTGTGTGTGCATAGATAGCCAGAACTGATCCTGATCTGAAATTATTCAGATTATTTCATATTGGGGTGGGGGGAATGCTCCTCTGTACTTAATAAAATCTGTCTCTCTCTCTCCCCCCCACTCCATCTCACTCTTTGACCCAAAGTTTCCTTTTCAGTAAGATTTCTTCCCTAGGTTCCTTTCATACTCTCTGCAAGTCACACCCTGTAAAGTCATGGACAAAGTTTGGCATGGACAAAGTTAGGAGTACATGTAATTCTGAGCATGATTTTACATCTACAAATTAAGAGCTTGATCCAAAGTAGGGGACTTTTCCATTGATTTCCATGGGGATTTGGATCATGTCTAGGGATGCTTAAGTCCTGATTCCACAAAGTATTTAGAAGCTGAAATACCATATTTATTTGAATATAAGATGACTTCCCAATAATAAGATTCTATATATGGCAAATTTATACATTTGTTATAATTTTCCAGATATAGACTAATTTTTCAAGGTTTGCCTTGAATTTGGCCCCCCCTTCCCACTGCTATAGCAAGGAAAATAAATCTCGGAGGAGGGTCAGGTGGCCTTCTTGCCCTCTGTCCCTGCCCCCACCCCCAACTTCTTAGCTCTGCACCGACTTCCCCCGCACCCTTACTGTGAAAACCTGCTCTCCCTGAACACACGAGAGTGAGAGGCAAATCTGAAAACACTG